GCCGGGGGTCGGGGGGGGGGGGGCGCGTGTCTGCTCTTCCCCCATGGAAGAAGGACGTGGGGTGGGGTGTCCCTCTCGTGTGGAGGGGGAGGGGCACATGTTGTGAAAGGTGGCACAATCCTTATCGCACACTTGCAGCATCCTGCTCTTCCCACGAGGCTGGCCAGGCCCTGCCCCCTGCTGCCACCCTCGCACGGGCTGGTTGGAGAACGAGAGCTGGCTGCTCCCAAATCTCCCTTGGGGCAGAGCTGGAGAGCCCTGACGAGGAGGGTTTGGGGGGCCAGTTTTGGAGGGTGGAGCCTCGTTCCTCCCCTTCCCCCCCCCCCCCAACGGGCCGGAGTCTGGGGCAGCAGAGCCCAGTGTGGCTTCCTCCACTCCCCATGGGGCCAGTGTGGGGGTGGCCCTGACCCCAGCGCCCCCCGCAGGCCACGGGGGAGAAGGAGGAGATGGAGGAGCTCCAGGCTTACAACCGGCGCCTGCTGCACAACATCCTGCCGAAGGACGTGGCCGCGCACTTCCTGGCGCAGGAGCGGTGCAACGACGAGCTCTACTACCAGTCGTGCGAGTGCGTGGCCGTCATGTTCGCCTCCATCAGCAACTTCTCCGAGTTCTACGTGGAGCTGGAGGCCAACAACGAGGGGGTGGAGTGTCTGCGGCTGCTCAACGAGATCATCGCCGACTTCGACGAGGTGTCGGGCCAGGGCAGCCCTCGGGCTGGGCTGGGGGCAGTGGTGGAGGGTGTGGCCAGGCAGGGGGCAGCAACTGGGGGTGGGGGTGATGGATAAGCTGGGGGCAGCAGCGATATGGGCTTTGTCACTGCACCCTGCACCACCAATGGGGCTTCCACGGGCCCAGCTCTGGGTGGGGACAGTGCTCCCTGTAAGCTGAGCACTAGGGTGGCCACCCAGGAGAAATTCAAATGCTGCCCAGCTGATTAGCAGAACACCCACAGCTGGCAGTAGGTGTTTCTACTGGTGGTGCACGTCCACACCTGTCTTGGTGCACAGAACAAAATTCATTCTGCACATGAGCAATGCAAACCTGGGGTGGGGCCCCAGAACTAGCCAAGCCCAGGAGCAGCTCATGGCGTCGGGGTGTGACAGCGTGTCAGGGCCCCCCCGATCCTGCAGCCCCTTAGCAGCAAGAACAGACTCCCCCAGCCAGTAGACGAGAGGGGCTTTATTGCTCCTCCAGGATACAGCTCAGACGTGATGTGGTTACAGGAGTCAGGGCCCGGATGCCTCAGACCCCTGGAGTTAGGGGTCCATCGCCCTCCTCAACTCTCTGCACCCAGCTTAGTCTGTTCCCTTCATGCTTTCTAGCCAGAAACCGCCTGCCCCCAGCCAGGCGTTCACCTCCGCCTCCCTTCCTTTGTCTCCCCTTGGGAAGAGCAGCGTTATCTGCTCATGCTGGGGCTAGGTGTCTGGGCCAATCCTCGTGGGTGGGTCAGTGGGAATCGCATCACAGCGCAGGGAACCCTGGTTACAGAGAAGACAGCCCCCCACTACATGTCACAGGGTCATTGCAGTAGCAGGGCCCATCCCGAGGGGTGGCCAGGGAAGGTCGTGTCTCCTGGGGCAAGGGAGCTCAGTGCAGGGCCCCTGGGGAGGGTCATGCATGGAGGGGGAGGGACACGCAGTGCTCCCTGCCAGCTCTGCTGCAGCAGCTGCCCCCAGCCCCCATCAGATCATTAGCGAGACGCAGTACCGGCAGCTGGAAAAGATCAAGACCATTGGCAGCACCTACATGGCTGCGTCAGGGCTGAACGACAGTACGTACGACCGCGAGGGCCGGACGCACATCACCGCGCTGGCCGACTACGCCATGCGCCTCATGGAGCAGATGAAGTACATCAACGAGCACTCCTTCAACAACTTCCAGATGAAGATCGGTGAGGGGGGGGCTCCGACTCTCCCGGGGTGGGGAGTGGGGGTTGCCGTGAGCCTCCCACCTCAAGCTGGACCACTCCTGTGGCCATGCACGAACGTAGGTGTGTCTGTGTGTGTGAGGACACGCTAGCACGCACGTGCAAAGTCATGCAGATGCACTTGCACGGCCCTGGATGTGGGGTCTGCTCTTCCGTGGGGAGACAGATGGGCTGGTAGAGCTCTGACCCTCCACCTCTCTCTCCCCGCAGGGCTGAATATCGGGCCGGTGGTAGCGGGTGTCATCGGGGCCCGGAAGCCTCAGTATGACATCTGGGGGAACACGGTGAACGTCTCCAGCACCATGGAACGCAC